GGACGGACGGATAGACAGATAGATAGATGGATAGATAGATAGATAGATGGATGGATGGATGGATGGATGGACGGACAGACGGACGGATAGATAGATGGATGGATGGACGGACGGACGGATAGACAGATGGATAGATGGATGGATGGATAGATAGATAGATGGATGATGGATGGATGGACGGACGGACGGACGGATAGACAGATAGATAGATAGATAGATAGATAGATAGATAGATGGATGGAGGGATGGATGGATGGATGGACGGACGGACAGATAGACAGATTGACGGATGGATGGACAGATAGATAGATAGATAGATAGATGGACGGACGGACGGATGGATGGTGATTTATTCACGGCTACTCTGTGATTAATCAAATTTTAAAAAAAAATTGGTTTGACAGCCCAAGTTAAACCACTACTGACTCCTTGGTCTGGATCGCCCTCCCCTGGTCAATCGGGAAAGTTACAACAAAGTTTACAACTCCTTCACTGAAAAGCAGTTGTTTATTTGGAATTGAATGAACGCAATAATTAAATGTGATGACAGATTCATTAGAATTTGTACAATTTTGTCACGTTATCGAGCAAAGTATTGCTGTTGTGGCAATGAGAGGGACTTTAGTCACAGTTTGTAATCTTGGTGAAATTAATTGAAAAAAAACATAATAAAATTCGAAAACCCCCTCTCAGTGGTCCCACAATGGGGAAATTCACAGTGTCAGAGTCTTTGCAGCCCACACAGGCAAGCCGACATAAACGGTGAACTATGAAACCACTCAGTGGGTGCACCAGTCCCTGATGCAATACTGCAAGCCTCTGTACCAAACGTGTCAAACTCAGGCCTGGGGACCAAATCTGGCCCGCAGTGTAATTATATTTGGCCCGTGAGATCATATCGAATGTGTATTAAAGTTGGCTCACCAGTATATAGGCCCTATATACTGGCAGGATTTGTAGTATTAGCGCTGTATGCACTATGTTGTAGCACATACATGTACATATATGTATGCACTATGTTATAGCACATACATGTACATATACATATGAAAAAAAATCTACATTACAGATCTAGAGAGAGGAGGGAAAACATGCACATTTGTTCTCAATTTTTCAATAAATATTAAGTTTGTCGACAGATCTCGTCCTAGTTTTTAATTTTGGCCCACTGTGAATTTGAGACGCTACACTTGATCTTAGCCAGATTAGCATCTACTCGAACTTAAGTTAAGCTAACTGATATTGAAATATAGGTGATATTTTGAACTGTTTCAAGTTCTGGATTCACATTGTTTACTTGTTTACTTTTATTTGGAAATTAGGCGGGAAATAAAGGAATTTTGGATTCAAGTGAAAGTCTTTTCCCCACGTACTTCACCGAGATGGAGAACTCGCCGCGGGAGGTCTGACTTTCTCTTATCAAAAAGGCTCCGACGTCGTTGTTCCTCAGCTGCTCCTCGGCTTCACTGCGACTGAAGTTTTCCTGAAACCACCTTGTTACCACGAATGATTACTGCTTTTAGATGAATGACCAAAATTTTTTTTTTTCCTTTTTAATCAAACAAACTAAAATGCCTTTCTAAAGTTGACCTACTATCGCGGTCTTACCTCGGAGCTTGCATATCGAGGTAGTTTTGCGGTACGAATCCTTCCTGTCCGTCCAACTCTGCTCTGAACCAGTCATCCTGTGAACTCAAAATCTGCTTTGAAGAAAAAAAAAAGAAAGAAAGAAAGAAATTAGAATGGTAATAAATAAAGAACTGAAACTAAAAAACACCATCAGATTAATATATTTTACCTCCAATTTTGAACTTTACCTTAAGTATATCGTCCCTTTTGAAGCTGAGCTCGTCATCTGCTGTGGCAACAAAGTCATACTTTCCTCTGGCCTCCATCGGGTGTTTGGGAAATTTCCAAAACCAAAGACTCCACAAAAGACTATTCTTCCTATGGGGGAAAGAAAAAAAAACCCACAATATTTAATGAATTAAGTTTTATAAGGAAATCTGTTCACAGAGTAATATGAGGTTAATACATAAATTATGGCTCAAGGACCTATGATTAATCTTAAATCTAACACACGGAAGCACTTGTCATTTTCTAGAGTGAATGTGCTGGAGATGCAGCGCTGCTGATACATGTCATGTTGTGGTTTGGCAGAGTTGAGCGATTATCTTCAGGAAGTCACCAATCTGAAATTCAGTTGAACTTTCATGTGCACAGTCATTTCCCGACTATTGTACAAAAGTTAGTACAAACTAAATTTCGTATCACCTCTGGTGATATGACAATAAAGTTCCTTCCTTCCTTCCTTCCTATTGAGTGCACCTGAATATAAGCCGCACCTGAATATAAGCCGCAGCCACTAAATTGAAAAAGAAAAAAAAATAATTGTAATTTTTTTTTTCCAAACAGTGCCTGTAACACGACTGGTTACACGTTAGCTCTTTCCTGCTTCCGAGCCTCGACCGTAGTTGGGAACGCAAAGGGGAGACTTAGTTTATCTGCTCCAGGGCCGAAGTTAACTTTAACTCCGATGCTAACTCCCTTCACTTTGTGCTTGTCAGCAGCAGAGATAAACAGAAACAGGGAAGTTAGGGTCATTTTTATTATCAGCCACACTGACCACAAAAAAAAAAACAGAACATAAACATAAACCCACACTTCAACATGACAGGGCTCAAACTGCTCTCAACTTTAGCTAACGTTCTCTCTCTCTCAGGCGAGCCCCGCGCACATATATATATACGCACACAGCCATTTACAGACAGACATATGCTTCTACAGTAGTATAACCCAAAGTAGCCTACCGGAAAAGTCACTGATTGCTAGCAGTATGAACTTCGTTCACCTGTAAAAATCCTTAAATTAGCCGTATCGTTGTTTAAGTCGCAGAAAAAGTGGCGGCTTGTAGTCCGAAAATTACGGTACTTAGCAATACAGTTCCTCTTCAACGGCCAGTTGTAAATGTCAGACTGTATAGATCAGGGGGTTCCCAACCCGTGGTCTGCGGACCAGTACCAGTCCATAGGTCATTTGGTACCAGGCCGCAGTGGGACACAGTGAGAAAAAAATGTACTTCATTTTTACTAATTTCCTTCATTCAAAGAAAATCCCATCATATCCATTTACTTTCTTCATTGAAAGATATTCCGGCAATATTTTAAAATAATAGGTCATTCAGACTGATACGAACAGAATAGAGTCTAAAAGATGTTTTATTTTGAAAATCCAATGATCCTTCAATGCTCAGTACCTTGCTTTTTAAGCTCCTGCGGGCCACACGAAACGGCTTGGCGGACCACAATTGGCCCCCGGGCCTTGAGTTTGACACGTACGCTTTAAAAGATAGCATGTTAAGTTGTGACAGTTGGCTAAAATGCTTCAGGCGTCATTAAGGCGAGAATTATTGAAAAATGGAATGTCTTTTACTCCCACTTGACTTTTTCTTGTCATTAAGTCTTGACGTTTATCGGTTGTGTTACAGTCAAGGAAAACAAAAAATGCCTTCCTTGCAAGCACGATGTCCTGGGTTCAATTCCCACATACTGAATGCCTCCAGGTGGCAGCCTGTTGCAGCATGTGATCTTTTTTTTTTAAGAGTTCATTTGAAATAATATTCACCTTCATTATAAGACATTGTGTTTACATCGGACATGCCGTCTTATTAGGTTTATCTCACGTGATAGCAACTTAGTCAGTTCGGACATGTAGACATGTAGGTAATTTAGGTAACATTAGTAAGTAGCTAAGTATTTTTACTTCGCTACATTGGAAGAAAAGCAGTTACTGAGTGAAAAAGGAAAAAGTCCATTTCCTACTATGTTAAGCCTGAGAACTACGAACAAAAAAAAATGGAGGTTGAGGATTGCCAAGACGACTCAGACAGAGAAGGAAATCCTCGGCCGCATCTCCGCCAGCTCTTTGTTTTCAAAAGCAAACCAGGCAATAACTTCATCATGCGATGTAACATGTCCCTGCCCCCGGTGGACGGAGCTGTTGCTGTCAACTTAAACAATGATGTGGCTAAGCTATGGATATATATTGCACTGCAGTTAGTGAATATGCTAGCCACAATATATATACATATATACAATACATATATACATATATATACAGTTTTCTCTCTTTTAAACTTAGTTCGAGTGTGAGAATCAGTTTGGCCTCTGAGGTTGACTGACAGATTTTTATCCATGTACCTTTAATTTTTTTTTACTTTTATTAAATGATGTCATTTTTATGGAACTCATTTTGGTTCAAGGGCCACATACATTTTACACATATATATTTTTTTTCCCTGCAAATAATATACATCAGTATATCAGAAAATATTTAAATATTTAATATGTCAATATCCATCAAGCGGGCTGGATTGAAACTTCCCCCCCCTACGCATATGTGTCAAACTCGAGGGCCGGGGGCGAAATACGGCCCACCAAGCCATTTTGTGTGGGAGCTTAAAAAGCATTTAGTAAAGTCCATGCAGCAGAGTTTCTTTGACAATTTTCAAAATAAAACATCTTTTAGACTCTATTCTGTTTGTACCAGAGTTTGAATTACATATTATTTTACATTATCTTTAAATAAAGAAAGTAAATGTATAGTAAAATGCTCTTTAAATAAAGAAAGTAAATGGATAGTTAAAAATTAAGTACATTTTTTATGGACTGGTACCGGGCCGCAGACCGAGGGTTGGGGACCCCTGATCTATATCTATTTTCCTTCATTTAAAAGCGTCCCTTCAAGGGGAACTGTATTGCTGATGTGGCCCCCGGTGAAAATGAGTTTGACACCCCTGCCAAGCGGGTCGTTTCTGGTCCCCGGGCCGTATGTTTGACACACCTGCCTTAGTTAGATAAGTCATAAAAATGTGCTGCTATTGATTTTTCAGAGTTTTTCTGATGAGAAACTTACGTTAAAACGGTTGAATAGAAGTGGTTAAGATTATGTGATTTTTTTTTTCAAAGAACAGTGAACAGTGACAATGTTTGTTTTATTTATGAATTTGCCCAAGCCTTAGTGGCGTACGTATTAAACAGTGTCAGTTCGTGTCACGTACAGACTGTGGTAATAAAACAGTTGAGGCTTTTGTCACATTTCGTTGATTGCAGCCAACAGGAGCGCTCACCGAGCGGCGCGTCTTGTTTTGCACCTGCACGGTTTTCTGCACCAAAAACACAAGTTTCACCGACAGTTTGCAAATGCATCCTGATGTGTTTATCAGCAGAAAACCACAAAGCAGCAGTTCAACCGTTCAACTGTACAATCAAACTATTTATACTGAGAAAAAAAAAACACACAACATTTTCTCCATAACTTAAGGGTAATGAATTTCTGACTTGAGTCGGAAAATAAAAATGTGAAATTTGTTTTGTTTTTTTTTTTTTTGCCGCTTCGTAGGTTCATAGTTTCAGTTCCCATGATTTCATCCTGTACTGCTTTCTTAAATAGGTGTTGACACGAATTGGTTCCTTAAATGTGACAACACGTGCATTCCCAACTTTACAAGTGTACTTGTAAAGTTGCCATTTAACATTGGACCTGACTTGAAAAATATATCACAGGGGAAGAAAGAAGAGGCCAAAAACTGTAAGAGTTCTCTGTCATTTTATCTGTGTTTACGCTAAAGCAACGGTCTCAAAATCCTGGTCCGGGGACCGGTGCCGCTCCGTAGGTCATTTGGTACCGGGCCGCAGTGGGACAGAGTGAAAAAATGTACTTTAGAGTTTGAGTTTTACTAATTTACTTCATTCAAAAAGAATCATCAGTCAGTATTTTTTCTTTTCATTAAAAGACAAATCTGTCAATGTTTCAAAACAACAGCTCATTCAAACTCTGATACTAACCGAATAAAGTCTAAAAGATGTTTTATTTTGAAAATGTATTGATCCTACAACAGGCCAACTAAGGGGTGGCGGGGGGGCCTGATGCGGTCCGTTCAGCTTTTTAATCTTTTCCCTGCAATACCCACGTTTCCCCAATAGATGGCATAGAAAATGGTAAAAGTATTTTAGCATTTTAGCCTTTTTGCATTGAGTTTTACATGTCATTTGAATTTTAGGACAATTGTGGCCCATGAGTCAAAACGTTTGCCCACGCCTGTCCTTCAACGATGGCATTGTATTACCAGTCCGCAGTAACGGCTGATACTGGCTGTCCGGTCCTTGGTACAAAATAGGTTGGGGACGTCTGCACTAACGTATCAACTAATATAAATAATCCATACCTACCTCGGAAGGTAAATTTCATTATTTCTAATTGTGTTCACTCTTCTTTTTAAATCCCTCCTCTATAAACAAAGCGACAGTAAGAGAAGCTTAATGCCTTTTTTCGCAACGAAATTTCAAATGTCAGTAAATAAGTCGCAAACATATTCTCTATATTCAAGGAGCTGTAGATCGTAAAAAAAGGCAAGAATTTTTCACTGGCTAGAACCGGCATGGGCAAACTACGGCCCGGGGGCCCCGATGCGGCCCATTTGGCTTTTTAATCCGACCCAACAAATTTGTCCAAATGATGTTTTTAATTTCTATTATCGTTATAATTCTGCCTTTTCCCTGCAATACCCTCGCATTTCTGAAATAGAAGGTGTAAAAAAAAAAAGGCTTAAATCGTTTTAGCCTTTATCTAAGTTCATACTTATCATTATACTTCTGCCTTTTCCCTACTATACCCTCGCATTTCTAAAATAGTTCATATGAACGTTCCGTCTTTCTGCTCCTGACCTGGGGCCCCCTGTTCAGCTTTGGGACAATTAAAGCTGCGATCCCGCGAGTGAAAAGTGTGTCCACATCTGGCTAGAACCAAGTTTACCTTGTGTGTCTCAAGCTAACTCTCAGCACAGAGCACAGTTTCAATGTCTGTCCCGACCTTATAAAATGTAAAATTGCTGATTGAAATCCTAGTTGATTTCTGTATGCGGTCCCTAACCTTTTTAAAATAACCTTTCAAAATAAAACATTGTTTTA